TCGGAAGACAATAATCATAACTTAACTGAAAAGAATATCATAACTGCCAATATTTGTAAATCTGAAACATTCAAACTTAGCCAAAAGCTGACAACTCAAGTCTTAACAAAATGAATAATACTAAAAAGACTAAAAAACTAACATTAGACTGTCTATCTATGAAACCTCTAAAATTAAGATGGATGTTGGGACAAATCCCACAACTCCTAATAAAAAAAGTACTGAAAATCAATAAATGTGTCCTCTAGAATGCAAGGAGGCTCACCACTGACTCTAAATGCTCACCTGGATCAACGGGGCGCTAGATAGTGTTGATCCTGGATACATGCGTTTGCATCATGGTAAGATGAGGCCAACATGGCATCAGTACATTGAATGTACAAGTATGCGAGTTGGGATGTTAAACGACAACTTAAGCTTGAAAAGGAGTAGGATGGAACACTTACCTTACTCTGCTCAACTCATGAATAACTAACTTTGTTCAATATAAAGCAATTTAAAAACAAATGCAATATAAAGAAAAGTTGTCTGAAAATGTGTTGTATACTCTGAATATATACAACGATACAATTAACTCTGAAATGTATGTAATAATACAAGTAAACTGATGTATATAAAAATACAATAACTTCTGCGGGAGTTTCTCTAAACGACAACCATCACTCAAGAGTTATAGTGATGATACATCGATCTACCTCACGCTGCCAGCGCATCCTATACCCGGTCAAATGTATAAGACCTGATGTCACGATCCAAAATTTGACGTGATGGCACTCTTCTTATCCCACCAAGACAAGTCAGCCTAAAACACAATTAATACAATAAAATGCGGAAAATCTACTACAACTTAAATTATACTCCCAAAACCTGATTGACACGTGTACAAGCCTCTATAGTATTAAAATTGATTCAAAAGAAATTATAAGTCTTATATGATATTGTTTCTAGGGTAGAATAAGATCATAATTAGGAGTAAGAAGGTCTGCTCAGATGACAAACAACTACCTCACAAATCTCCAAGAAGCCTCGGAAAAGAAGACTATCACAAAGGTTCGGGCTAGTAACCTACAAAAAAATTTGTAGAAGCAAGGGGTGAGTACCAAACCACACGGTACTCAACAAGTAAACCTCTAAAAAAAGCTAAAGGGATAAAATATAGGTACTCCTATCACCCCCAACCGAACCTCTACAACTACAACCTGCTTAAACATCAGCGCAACCTAATAACTCACAGTTTACATAGCACTCGACAACAACACTTAGACAAATTACATATCCTCCACAACAACACTTTAACAAATTACATATCCTCAACAACAACATTTAAAGAAATTAGATATCCTCAATAGCAACACTTCAACAATTTAAATATCCTCAATAACAACACTTCAAGAAATTACTTATCCTCAACAACAACACTTCAACGAGTTACATATCCTCAATAACAAGCTCAGTATTCAACAATCACAAGTTCCACAAAACACAATATCAAGTTTACTAATGATAAGTATGTGCAATGTAATGGAATGCAATGTCAAGTACAATGATGCATGTCTAACCTAGTGATACACACCCGCTGTCTCTCAGTCCGAGACCCATGAAGGACATATCTGTCTATAAATCTGTCACGACGCACGACACAATCCTCGATAATAGTAACCATCACGGAGCACGATATGTCCCTCAAAATATAATATCCATCGCGGCGCACGATACGTCCATCGAAATGGTACATCCTCCTTAAGTTATCATTCTTTCTCAATGCACATAACACTTGTGACAATCATGTCTTAAAATAATGCAAATGACATGTTCACACAAATAAAGAGGATATGACCATTTTCATAACATTGCACAATGCACAACAACAGAAATAAAATATCACATTAACAATAATTTAACAAGCCTTTGAACCTTTCTCAACACATCACACATAAACAATTAATCACACTGTCTTTTGTTACCCTTTTTTTATCATCATAGTTAATCAATGTGAACAAGTCAACCCATCACCAAGTACCATTACTCCCAAACATATACCATAAAGAAATACGCACATTTCATACACTTAACAAGAGTTTAGAAATTCACTTGCCTCAATCAATCAAGAATTACTCCAAATTGATCCTTCCCTTTTCATTGGACTCCCAACTCAAAGCAATCTACTCAAACAAATGACCATAATAAGATTTCAAAATTAACAACACCCATTATTATGATCCCTAAATTTACTTCAAGGTTGAACCTATGCCCACAAGGACATAACAGAATTTTTTTTAAAAACTATTTTACTCATATGAAAAATCCCAAATTCATAACACGTACACAAATTATATGAGCAAATTGTTTGACCATAGTATTGAAAACATACAGACGTTAAGCATGGAGATTTCCAGATCATAGCTTTAACCCATTTAATAAGGAATGTACTATAATCTATTAAAAAAAAGGTCACAAGTAAGATGAACGAATATGCCATGTATTTTCTCAAAATTATAAAATAACTGCATCCCTTAGTATATAGAATTTATTATAATACAATTAAATATTAAAGTAACTAGAGCTATAGTGAAAATCAATAAATGTGTTCTTTAGAATGCAAGGAGGCTCACCACTGACTCTGAATGCTCAGCTGGATCAACGGGGCGCTGGATGGTGTTGATCCTGGTTACCTGTGTTTGCATCATGATAAGATGCAGGCCAACATGGCATCAATACATTGAATATACGAGTATGCGAATTGGAATGCTAAACGACAACTTAAGCTTAAAAAGGAGTAGGAAGGAGCACTTACCTTGGCTCTGCTCAATTCATGAATAACTAACTCATTTCAATATAAAACAATATAAAAACAAGTGCAATATAAAGAAAAGTTGTCTGAAAACGTGTTGTATACTCTGAATATATACAACGATACAATTAACTCTGAGATGAATGTAAAAATACAAGTAAAATGATGTATATAAAAATACAATAACTTCTGGTGGAGTTTCTCTAAACGACAACCATCACTCAAGAGCTATAGTGATGATACATCGATCTACCTCAGGCTGCCAGCGCATTCTATACCCGGCCAAAGGTATAAGACCTAAACTGCCTAATGAATCAACTAGTCTACTGTAAAAAGGGTTCATCTAAAAAGTATGATCATTTTCTACCCATGGTGGTTACATGGTTTATGAGGATTGTGAGTTGTCTGAACTCTGCCTTATGTCGGTGCTCAATACTACTCCCAAAATATACTGACTCTTATGTTTTTAAAACATACTAATACTGTAGTTTAAGATAGTGCTCAAAATATACTTAGCTCAAAGGTTATCTTGAAAATCTTATTTTCCCTACTTGCTTCATTAAGAAAGCTATATTTCTTTTATGAAAACTAGCCCTATGGCTCCTTAGGAATCCCAGTTTCCATTCCCTTAAATGTGAAATTATTTTTTAATAGTTCTTTGAAAATACTTAGTCCTCATATACTATTTTTAAAGAAAAGACTTCACTTTACTCTGAACTAAATTCAACTTAAGTCTTAAATAAAGTTAACACGTTTGTGAAAAACTTATGAAAACCTGAAATGAACTTCTTATTATTATTGTCTTCACTCCTTACTCAACCTGATATTTAAGTCTTAAAATAAGTTTAAAGTATTTGTAAAAGACTTCTTGAAAGAACTCTAAGATTTCCTAGACTTGGCTCTAAACTCATTTGACTTTGATCTTAACTTTCCTTGAATTGAATTATGGATTCAAGGTCATGATTTGCATTTTTTAGTGATTTCTAGGTGCTTAGATATCATTTGAAGCAGTTAGAATCATTGGAAGGTGTTAATGTACCTTATTAGGACTTAAAGAGGCTAAACTACAAAAATTGAACGAAAAACGGCGATTCTGACGCATTGGTGGCGAGCCACGCCAGCCTCAGTTCACTGAGGCTTAGTTTTGACACACCGGTAGTGCGCCGTGCCAAGCCCCAGTTAACTGAAGCCCTCTTTTGGCGCAGTGCAGGCGCAACACGCCTGGTCTTGCCCAGGTGCGTCTGACTAATTTTTCAATTTGTTTTCTAGCCCTAAATTGCCTAAACCTCCATAATTTCATCCCCAAACCCCTAGGATTATCAATATCTTCAATACCCATCAGATCAAGCTCAAAAAAACACCAAAAACTACTAATCAACATCAATAGGCATTCAACCAATTCAACCGAAAAGGATTCGACGAAATTATCAAGAATTCACTTCTAATCATGTAATCAATTCTAAAACTTCTAAACTGAAATAAGATTGGTGTGCGGATGAATTAACTCAACATGAAAGAGATCACATACCTTGATAGGGATCACCTTCGACGAATTCCACTCGAAATCCCTTGGCGTTCTTGGCTAAACCTTGATCTTTCTCCATTCTCATTCTTGTCTTCTCTTTTCTCCCAAACCCTAACCATAAAAGAATTTTTTTAATATGAACAAAAACTTATTTTTACCCCTATTAAATCCTTAAAACGGATTAGGAAATTAATGGGTAAAAAGACTAGTTTTCCCTTCCTTAAATCCTGATTGGACCTTCCTTACTTCAACAACACAACTTTCGAAAGACATATCTCCCTCATACGATATCGAAATCGTGCAAACTCGGCACCGTTGGAAAGATCTTTCCAAAGGATTTCAAACCATATAAAGAACTACCTCTAACTCATCCTGAGCTAGAAGGTATGACCGTTTGAAAATAGTCAAAACTCACTTCTTAAACTTAGAAATTTCCCGAGATGCCTCCTTTTCTTTCCAAAATGAATATTTTAGTTTCTTAACTTATTCCTAGCTATTTCGAGTTATGAGATGTTACAAAGAGATCCATTTACATGCTCATCATTAAAGTATTTTTCTTTATCGATTTTAGAATTTTGCTCAAAATAGTATAAAACATACACAAATATTACCGATATTTAAAATAATAAATTAATAACTAAAATATATGTATTTAAAACTAAAAGTCAAAACTAAAGTAATTCCAATAATTACGAAAAAATTATACACTAATTAAATTAAAATAAAATAAAATAAAAGTACTTTAAACTTTTTTTTCCTGAAATATCCTTATTAAACCAGACACATCGAGGACTTCAAAACTATATAAAAAGAAAAAGAAAAAAGAATCATATTGCAACCGGAAGTAACTGCAGAGCACAAATTAAAGTGATCAAAATGAAACTGCAAAATATTAATTAAAATCTGTTACTCATACTTCTTTAATTTCCTTTTTAATTACACTTGACCTACAATTTATAGTCAAAATGAAACTTCTTATGTTAAAAGTTGCTTTAATGAAACTTTATATTATATCATACTCCCATTTTTTACTCATCCATTTTAATTAATCCCTAAAAAATGGCTCAAGGCAAATACTTGTCATCAACAACACTCATATTTCTATTTTTAATTTCTCATAATATTTTGTTTATTACAGCCGAAGTTGTACAACCAATAGTTTATTCTCCAAAAGATAAAAAAACTTATATTGTTTATACTAATAGTTCTGATTATGTCAAAATCTTAGCCTCAGTATTGGGAAGGTTCATTTTATATTTATTTTATTTTTCTTGTTAATTTTTCTTATTTTAATTAATTAATGTCATTTTTTTTTAGTATAAACTTACATTTTTAATATTTGTTTAGTGAGGAGGCAGCAAAGCAAGCAATATTGTATACTTATCATCATGTAATAAGAGGATTTTCAGCTTCATTGACTCTTGCACAAGCTGCTCGTTTATTAGGTAAAATTTGCATTTTCATATTTTATGTAATTTTATTTATTTCTTAATTTTGTTGAAAAGAGGAAATATATACTTACACATTGTTTACATCAGTTGTATTATATTGTATTGTTAATTTTAATACCGTGTGATTGTTTTTGTTGTTATTTATAATTTTATTATGTTGTATTGTTTAAATTCATTGTTAGGTAATTATGAAAAATTTTATTTTGTGTAACGATCGATTTGGTATATTCACATCGTTATTCTAATATTTTTTTTTATTTTATCTTTACTTAATATTTAATAATCATATTTTTTTAGTCACTCTACCTCATACTTTACTTTTTCTCGTAGATTTATCATTTAAATTGTTGATGTATGAAATTATGTAACGATAAAAAACGATACAATCTATTTTTGTGTTCATTAAAACAAATACATTACAAAACAATATTTAGCAACCATTCCAGTAGAATGCCAAAGACGAATCTATTTCGTAAAATATTCTTGTTATCTAATTATGCTAATTAATAATGTAATTATATATCCACATAGTTTATTTTGTTAATTTAGTTTATAAGTTGTCCATTGTACGTAAATTCTCAGTTCAATATTTGAAGTCTTACACTTTCTCCACTACTATAGAATATTTTAAATAATCTATTTTATTATTTTAACTAGTAATTTTTTTTTTCAAGTCAAGTTAGAAGTCTAAAAGATAAAATCAATCGATCAAAAGGAGTTGCCAAAATCAGAATTATATATATATATATATATATATATATATATATATATTATTTCTGACAATTCTTTTTGGTTTGTTGGCTTCAAAAAAGATGCTTTTTAGACTTTTTGTACTTTTTTCTTTTCTTTTTTTAAGTTTTGAAATTTATAATTTTTATTTTTATTTTGAATATATTTGTAGAAAGAACATGATAAAATATGGTTTCACCAAATTAATATTGATATTGAAAATGCTGCATGCACCAACTAAATCAACATTTTTATAATTTGCAGATCATGAAGATGTATTAAGTGTCAAAGAAAGTGCAACATATTACTTGCATGATGGATCTGAAGGTCCAACCAACAATTAGCAAGGACAATTGTCAAATAATCAATAAGCTTTTAAAACCTAATAATATTCTTGTAATCTTATAGACATTCACAAAATAAAGAGGGAATTTTCAATTTTTCTCAGCTCTCAAAAGGAGAATTTTAAATTTTAAATCGGGTAAGAATCACTATCGACAAGTTTCAGTTGGTAATCTTATAGATATTCACAAAATAATGAGGAAATTTTCAAATTTGAAATGGGCATGGCCTTTTATTCTTAGCTATCAAAAGGAAAATTTGGAATTTTAAATCAGGTAATAATCGTTGTCGATGAGTTTCAATTATCAGAGTATTCAAACCTCTAAGTAAACAGAAGTAAAATTTTCCTATTGATACTACTAGCACTTGTGAGACTGGCTCCCCAAGAAAAAAAAGATACACTAAATTTTCTCAATGATACTCTAACAAATTCGATAATCGAATCAAATTTCAGATATTAATGTTATTATAGCACCTTGACTCTAAAAAAAAACTACAACATTTTAAAAAATAGTAGAGATAAAAAATTTATTGCCGTAAGCTCCTCACTTCTCGTTTGCTCCCAAAAAAAATAAAATAATCAGAGGATACCTAAAAATTGTGTTTTGGTGTATTTAATTTATGATTTAGCTCCAAATGTTTCAAAACTATAGAAAGATAAGAAATTGAAGAACTAAATTAATTTTTTTATAAGAATCAAATGAAGAACCGAACATTGATCCCTTCATGGACTGCACATCTGGAAAAAATTAATTCATTCGTCTTAATATGTGTGACATTATTTGATTAAAAAATAAAAAAATTTAAAACTTGTAATCTATAACATTCTTGACCTTTTGCGAGGTTATAAATTACTTCTTTTGGCAGCAGATTAAAAAAGAAAACGTATTAGATAAATAAAGAGAAATGAGATAATATTTTCAATCATAATTACATAACGTTATTATTCAAATATTTAATAAAAAGTATTGTAATATACCAATTTTGATATATCACCTAGCTAGCGTTTATTCATAGATTTTCAAATATTTTTCGCAAATATTATTTGGATGGAATTTCACCATGTGTTTGACCATAATATTTGAAAAATATAAATCATTTTTTTTATATCCACAAGTTTTAAAAACTATCCATAAGTTTGTATTACAGGTCAATTGGTTATTCTTTGCAACAATAACAAATAGTGTCCATGGCACTAGAGCAATGTGGTAATTTGGAATGAGTGCAATAAACATCATCTCATATATCGTTAAGTAGACAAAACACATGACTTTGTTATCCCGAGTTAATTGTTCATTGTTTTCATCAATAATGATATCATCATGTAACATTCATTGAATATTTCATCACTAGTACTTTGGTGTTAACGTATGCAAATTATTATTATAAAGGGTGTTTTTGTAAAAGATAAAAATTTAAAATGAAATTTCAATTTTCAAAAATGAGATTTGATCCAAATATCAAAAAGAAAATATTTAAAAATCTAAAAAAATTGCTAAAATATATTTTTAATTTTTTTTTCAAATATTATTTGAGGAATCTATGACAAACGATTAGCCATTTTTTACTCGTTAGCCTCATTCAATAACAAAATCGTAACTTGAATAATGTCTCTGTTGAACGTTTGGGGTGACAATTTAATGGGGCATGGTGAATGCAGGAGGGGTAAATTAAGGCTATATAAGGTAAGGTGGTTTTAAGATTGTGCGGGCCGGATTGAAGTGAATATTTTAAGTTAAGAATTATATTAGGGGAGAGCGGGTTGTGGATCTATGTGATATAAAATTTAATTTTAACTAATATTGTAAAAATGATAAACACTATTTATTTAATAGATCTCTACCAAATTTTAGGTGTTTATTTTTAAAAAAAAATCTATATTTTTTCTAAAAAATATTCTATATTTTTTCTAAAAAATAAAATAAACTAATGAAAGTATATATTTTAATGAATATAAACTAGGGTCAAATGTGAGTAATATAGTTGAGTTATCAGTGAGTTCAGAAACATGGTGGTCCCTATATTGAGTGTCATCAGAGTGTTCAATCTCCATCACCCAAAATCAAGCGGTAGCATACGTGTTTGATCAAAATCAGAAATAGTTGACACAAGAAAACAAAGCCTTTTGCAGCTTTTTAACTGTATTTAGGCTGAAACTACAACGCTCTCTCTCTCTCGATTCCTCCGCCCAAACCTTAATAAACCCCCCCAATACCCAACACTAGTCCTTTTCTTCAATTTCTCCCATTATTCTTCAAGGTATGCTTCTTCTTCGCTGCTCCAATCATGGGTAATTTGAATTAATCTCAATTAAATGTTTAATGTGCTGCTAATTAGAGATTTGATTTTCATTTTCTTTCCTATGCATTTTATTCAACCACTTTGAACCATCTGATAAATTGTTTGAGTTTGCTAGATTCTTAAGTTGTCATGTTTTTTCTTCGTAAAATTAGATTCGATACAATTTAGGAACGGTAGCTTGATTTTTTGTTAGTGTGTACTATATATATATTTTTTTTGAAGTAATCAAAAAAATGTGGTTTAAAAAGAAAAATGAATTAGGATTAGTAAATTACCATATCTCTCAACCATTAGGTAGTTTTTTGTCTCAATTTGAGCGCACCTGGTGATATGATGGTTGTGGAGTATTTGTTAAAGATCCTTGGTAGATAGAATTACTCGGTGCTTGTTGTTGTTGCTGGTGGGAGGTGATAGGTATCGCGATGAAATTGTTGTTGTTGATGCGTTGAATTGTTGTTGGTGGTGGTGGGAGGTGATAGGTATCGCGTTGAATTTTTGTCGTTGCTGGTGGGAGGTGACATGTATTCCATCGAATTGTTGTTGTTGCTGGGAGGTGATAGGTGTCTCGTTGAATTGTTGTTGTTGCTGGTGGGAAGGTATCCTGTTGAGGTGCACACAAGTTGACCCACACACCACACTTGTAAAAAAAGAAGTCTAAAAAAGTTTCCTTATTATTTTCTTAATTTGTTCTTGCTTGCTACCAAATGCATATCTTTTAGCGATTCCCCTTTAGAATATAAGAATGGAAAAGGAGGACATCAACAACTACATACTTGGGGTAATTCCAAAAGTGGAGTCTCAGGAGGAGGGTAGAGTGTACGTTGATCGTAAAGAGATAGAGAAGTTTTTTCTGAAAGACCTCCTGCTCAAGTACAGCAAATTAAAGAATACGACAATGGGGAAAACATGTCAATTAGCAAGGGGAGCAATACAGAGCATCAAGGGAATGGAAGCAGTAAAACACAAAATAATGCGGCAACTAAAAGAATGGAAACGGAGGAAGAACTCAAAATATGACAAAATATCTGACATTGTTGAATTGTGTTCTTGGTCTTTCTTATTCTTCCTTGTTGCAGGGGAAGGAATTCGTGTCTGTAGTATAATTACCGTTGAGAATTTTTTTTTGTCTTCCCTGTCTCCTTAGATGATACATATAATGCACTTGAAATTTTAGGGGCTTATTATTTTAGAAGTTATGTTGCATATTTTTGTACTAATTTTTGATATTCTTGGTTTAATCACTCTCGTAAACATTAACCAATATCTGTAACCAGTCTGAGACAGTGTATTTTTTGCTTTTTTCAGGGTAAATTAGATGGGGCCTTATGTTGCTGGTGTTCTTGTTCCTCTGGTAGTAACTATTCTCCTTCAGAATAGAAGAAGTCGAAAAAAGCGAGGCTTGCCTGCTGATGTTGGTGGTGAACCTGGCTATGCTATCAGAAATTGTCGGTTCAATGCACCGGTAGAAACAGCATGGGATGGAATCACAACCTTGGCAGAGCTTTTTGAGTATTCATGCAAAAAGTATCATCACAAGAAGTTACTAGGAACTCGGAAACTGCTTTCCAGAGAGATGGAAGTATCTGCAGATGGAAGGTCGTTCGAGAAACTACACTTGGGTGATTATGAGTGGTTGAGTTATGGTCAGGCATTTGAGATTGTGTGCAATTTTTCCTCTGGTTTGGCACTACTTGGGCACCAAAGAGATGAACGTGTGGCCATTTTTGCTGATACATGTGAAGAATGGTTAATGGCATTACAGGTACATATCTGTTCTGTTCTTACTGAACAAAAAGGTTTCTTTTGTTTGCACTGATGACCATTTGTAGATTCGAGATATACTCCAAGAGACAATATTCTTTTTTACTAGTTTATAGATGACTAGGATTCTATTAATTTCCAAATCATGCTCTTTTTTTTTTACATTTTTCCATGTCAATGAAATAACATTGAGTCGCTTTGTTTACACCAGAGTTGCTTCAGACGCAATGTGACAGTGGTTACTATTTATGCATCACTTGGTGAAGAGGCCTTGTGTTACTCACTAAATCAGGTCAATTATCTCTCTTGCTCTATCTCTCTTATCGTTTCTCTCTTTCCCTCTCACTCATGAATCAGTTCATGCACACAAGACAGGTTCATGAATAGTGTTTAGCACATAAGAAAGAGATCATACTTGAAGGCTTGTACTAGTGACACCACCATTATGTGCCCAATCTTGGATCAGATGTAGTAATTGGAACTGTCTCTATTAGTAAAGAACAAAGAATGATTTTATAATGTTGGCCTGAGGTGAATTTAAATGGCAAAACATGGTCTGCAAGGATTTATGCTAAAAATACTTTTCCTAGTTATGACAGAAAATGAAGATCTCGTCTCGTGAAGTAACATGCAATTTCAAGATTATCAAAGTACAATTTTAGGATAAAAGACCAGTTATGGTAGAAAGATAATCATATTCACTAAAACCTCGAAGTCAGTTATCAGATATCACCTTGATGTGATGTTAACTTGTTCTTTTAACTGATATATGTTGTCAAGCACTGGTCTGACTTGCCTTCACCACTTTCTTCAGTTTCTGTGGATTATTCTAGATCTTCATTTTCGACTGGTACTGTCCACTTAGCGTGTGAAGCAGTTTGAAATGAAATATGTTTTCTTCCATACACCCCATGTTGGTCAGAATCTGCCTTTACTTGTGTAACTTCATTGAAGTTCTATATGAGACACAGTCGCACAAGGAAAGCCTTAAAACATAGAAGATATTAAAATACTCTAGACAGTGGTATTGTAAAAAGGTATATTGATAAGTGAAGTATTGTAAAACTGGTAAATTGATAAATGAAGTACCCACGCTGATAAATTGTTTTTTTCTTTGTGAAACTGACAATCTCTGGCAGAGCCCCACATAGATTTGTTCTTTTTGGATCTATTTGAGGGTGTCATAATCTCTTCAACCAATAGCATGCTTCTAGCTGAAATTAGAAAAGCACAGCACTCTACTTTTACAGCTAAACTCTGACTTATCCATGCAAGATTTTATTAAAAAAAAATCAGTAAAGGGTAAAATTTTATTTTAAAAAATGTTAGGCAGTAGCAATATAGTACTGCAGCAACTCATCCATTCAAGACCTAAATTTCGAGAACTTGAAAATTGACATTTTGCCTCCATCGATTCTGTGCTGGAAAACAAGCTATGCGAACCTTAATCTGATACCTTTGTCTTGCTCATTAGATAATTTCTGTGATTTTTTGTACTCTTTCAAATGTT